TACCTCTGCTGTTCTGCTCTGCTGCAGGGGAGCATGGTAGGCGCTGGCGGTGTTTAGGTGCTGTCTGTCCCCAAGGGCTGCGGGGAGGAGGAGGAGGGTTTGGTGACGTGACCCCGCTGCTCACTGCCCGGCCCTGCTCGGTTCCTGCTCCATCGAAGGCTTTCTGTGTCATCCAGGCAATGCACTCTAAAACATTCAAACCCCAGAGTCACCCCGAGCCCTTTGGTTCCCACGAGGCTCAGCGGGTCCCCAAGCAGCCTCGCTGCCAGCACTGGGCGCTGGCCCCCTAAATGCGAGGGTCGTGTTCGGGTACTCGGTGTTGGCCTGGGTGCTGGGACTAAACCCAAGGTACTGCTGTGCCATGCACCTCTGAGGTAGGGGAGCATCATCTCCTGGTGGTGGGTGGGAAGGATGGAGAAGGCTTCTGCAGAGAGGGAAAGCAGACGGAGAAGTCAGTGAGAAACGATTGCTTTTCCTGCAGCTGAGAAATCCCAACAGCTTTTTGCTTCCAGATGTTTCCTTTGTGCTTTGTGTTGACGATGCATTTGTTGGTCGAGCTTGGCAGACACTTCCACAAGTCTTGGGCAAGGACCCCCCAGGATTTTGACACTCGTGCGCTTTGGCCTGGGTCTCCCGTCATTTCAGCCCTCTGGCCGTTGGCTTTGGTGGACACGCTGCCTGCGAAGGCAGCTCTGAGGGGTGCGGAGGATGCAGACGTGTGCCCTCCACGCTGGCCGCCTCGCCCAGCCCACACCTCTCAGGTGTGCTTTTCTAGCTGCAAAGATGTAAAAAAAGGCAAACAAAACCAGAACCACCCCCTCTGGTTCACTGATTCATCACAGGACTAATGGAGTAGGTGGTGATTTTACAAGAGTAAATTGTAGTAAATTGGGAGAGGCGATGATGCCTGGCAGAAGGTCTGTGCTCCCTGCGGGCTTGCAGCCCCCTGCTTCTGGAAGTCTGTTTTGCTGTCAGTTCAGGGGGTTGACGGCTGATAAACCACCTTGTACGGCATCGGGTGCTGGCCCAAGGATGTGCTCTCCGCCTTGCTGGTTGCGACTCACCCCTGGCACTGATGGCATGTGGCAGTCACCATCTCTCGGGGTCCCCCGCCTCCCGTCTTCTCTTGAAGGGCACCACAGCCATTACAAGCTGGGTGCTGAAGGTGGCAATTTCAAGCTGATCGCTAGTTTTGTCCTTGAAAGAATGAGTTAAAAGTAGATGCAGATACTTCACCCACTCTCCATTCCCCTGCCAATATTTGTGGGTTTGTGATCACATTTTCCTGTGATTTAAACGATTTCCTGTCCTTGGTTGCTTCCTGAAAGACAGGCAGAAACCAGAGGGAGCTGACTGCGCAGGTCAGGAGCGAAACCGGTAACGAGACGTGGAGCCCCATCAAGCCAGCTTCCCCTGCCATCGGAGCAGGCGCTCCTCTCCATCCCTTCCTTTGTAGGCATCCGTAGGGTTATCCCAACCCTCTCGTGCAGCTGTAGCGGTGGCACTGATAGACCAAGGGGAGGCTGGAGCAGGCAGGCGTGGGGTTAATGCTCACTGTGATTAATGCTGCAAAAATATGGGAAGGAAACCACATGTTTTAATGAAAAGCCTCCGTCTCCTCCTTCCAGAAACCTCGCAATTAGCTGCCTTCAGCTGGTTATTGATGCCAGCCAAGCACATTCACAGATCTAGGTCAGCAAAAGGCGCTTGAGCAATCTGGGCTCCAGATGTTCGCTGCTTTTGACCGTGGGCCTGCCTCGGAGGTCCCGGGGTCTGAATTGCACTTTGCTACTTGTTGATGGATGTGCAGAGAAATCGCTGTGTCCTGTTCTCCCATCTTTTGGGTCCCTGTTGCACATTAAAGGATGTTTGGGTGCTTGGGAGGCAGATACAAAATCAAGATTCCAGTGATTCTCCTAAGCAAATGATTCAGGGTGCTTTGACCAAGGGGAAGAGGGATTCAGCTTCTTTGTTTTGACCAAATCATGCTTGGATGTTCAAATCCTACCTACAACTTCTCCAAATGCAGCCCACATTTGGAAATGCTTTTTGTTCTTTCCTTGTTCTTAATACATTTGTGCCTTTCTGCTCCATAGCCTGGAGGTGGCTGTTCCCGTAGGAGATGCAGGGTGCTGGGAGACACCAGCCAGATGCATTAGAGCACCAGAAGGACAACTGCCAGGACACCACAGGTTATATTTTGCCGAGGTGTAATTGGATGCAGATTCTTCTGAACGACTTCACCCTACACAGATTTAACCCCGATGAAAAACTCTTTTGGCACGTTGCTGGAGAATCGTCTAGGTTGTGATTCTGTCCACAAAGCCTCACTGCACGCTGGCTCTGTTGTGCTAAATAGAAACTGCTCCCACGTGAAGCTGGTTTGGAGCCCCATACCTGGGCACAGGAGGATGGCCGGGCTGTTACTATCACAAATGCCTTCTTTCTTTTTTTTAAACGTTTCCTAGGATGGATTTTTTTCTCAGTTGAATGTTTGCAAGTGCTAGTGAGAAAGCATTTGAATATCACAAAGCCAGGATTCCTCGATTTCTCTACAGCGACACTAGTTTAATTCTTCCTGCTTGTTTGCTTTGATTTTCAGTCGGGATGAGTCACTTATGCTAATAGAGCTGAATGGGGAGTTACGGGGGGAATTTCTACTCTTACTAAAATGTTACCGGTCTCTTATTTTCATGGAGTTTTATGGCCTGTCTCCTATTCAGTACAGTTACAATTAATTTCATGCCCCAGTTCATTCCAGTGTTTGCAGCTTCAAAAGCTTTTAAGTCCTATTTAGCTGCCTCGCTGTGCTCTGTTACCCGTCTGCTTGGGTCTCTTTGGTTCACCTGTGAGTGCAGGCTTCGCGCAAACACGGTTAATTTTGTATGCTGCATCTGCCGCGTGATCTAAGGCACCGTTGAGTGGTTTGTGCCAAAGACTTGACCTACCTTTGATGGGACCGTGTCCTTTCTGTTTGAAATACCTGCTTTGCTAGAGGGAAGGGCTCTGCCGCTCTCTCATCAAGAAAGAAGAGAGCAAGGTGGTGTTCAGTGCCCTCGTTTTCATAGGGATGGGGTGAGCTTTGGCCCTGTAGCTAGCTTGGCCCTTGCTGTTTTTCAAGGTGTGAGTTTTTTGGGTTTGCAATGGACTGACACGTTCCTTCAAGATGCGATGCAGCCCTGAGCACAACCGGAGGCCACTTGAATGATTCTGCATCAGCTCAGGAGGTTGCAAAGACCCCTTTATAAAGATTTTGCTGAAATACAGCAACAAACGCAGAGGACACTTACTTGTGCACCAGTTAAGCACCAGTGCATCTGGTCTCGGTCTCTTATTTCAGTGTTTTGCCAGCTGGATGTACAAGGATGAGAGCTGCTCTTCCTGGTAGTGATTTTGTGTATTCTCCAGACTCCTGGCACCAAAGATATTAACCTTCTTTCCTCGAAGTGTTTGAAAAATGACAAGATGATGTTCACATGAGCAGGATCAATTACCTGCTGTCTACCTGGAGAGATATTCTCCGAGGGGGCCTTCATCTCTACGGCAGGAGATTCCTGATCGGTCAGCCATGAAAAATAGCCTGGTAGGACTCTCCTCCCCCCTTTCCCGAAGCAGTCATCTTGAAATCATAGTCTGTGGGATTTGTGTTTGAAAGCAAAATGTGAGCTTCTGAGCCTGTGAAAAGCACGCATAAGGAAAACTGAAAAGCCCAGGGTAAGTACATGCAAGGTGCTGTTCACAGGGTTTGCTTTAAACCTTCCCTTCAAGAGCTTCTCCTTGCTTTTACGCTGAAGTTCAGAAATGTCGGGGTGAAACCAGGCTGCATCCCCTTGAGATGCTTGGAGAGGTGTCGGAGAACCAAGGTCTGAGTGTACAGTTAAA